GGAGAGGGCCACCTTGAGCTTTCCCAATCTCTTGGGATTGCTCGAGAACGAGCACAAGGTATTTTGTTGTGCGCCGGTTGCAACGGCCACTCACCATTGTGGGGGCCTGGGAGCATTCCGCTCAATGCAGTTGGCGAACTTGTGGAAAACATTTTATTAGAGGAGAATTTGATTGTTCTGAACAACAGTGCTTCGCCCCCCACTTTTCGGGGGGACAGAGGGCAGGTTTCCTGGATTGATATCACTGCTGGCAGCCCCACTATTGTGTCCGGAGTTGTTTCATGGCGAGTTATGGAGAACTTGGAGGTTGGCTCTGACCACGTTCCAGTGGTCACACGACTTTCTCTGGGACCACGCCGTGCTGCAGTTAGGCGGGTTCTTAACTAGCGGGAGACAGATTGGGAGGCCTTCAATGGCCAGCTCCTCATGCGGCTGGGTGGGAGCCCTCTGGGCCCTCTATCTGGCCCGGAGGAGATCGACAGTTCAGTGGATCATACGACGGCTGCTATTCAGCAGACCATGGATGCATGCGTTCCAGTTAAGCGGATCTGCTCTTACTCGCAAGCGGGGTGGACACCGGAGCTGACGAGACTGAGGACCGAGATGAGGACTGCCAGACGACTTTGGATGCGCTACCGGACCAGCACAGACAGAGAGAGGTACCTTCGTTCCCGCAGCCTATTCCGGCGACGACTGATAGAGGCACGACGAGAGGCGTGGCGACAGCTTTGCGAGTCCACGTCTACTGACGACTACTGGCGCCTCTACCGCAAGGCCACCCGTCCAGCGGGCGACTGTGGGGTGGAGGATCTACAACTTGAGAGCGGGACTGCATCTACCGACCGGGAGAAAGCCGCCGCTTTGGCCAAGACTTTCTTCCCACCGCTGCCACCAGCATCGCCAGATCTACCAGCGGAGGAGCCGGATACGTCCTGGGCCACGCATCGACCACCTGGCCCCGCGGAGCATGAGCCTGTGACCAGTGAGGAGCTTCGCCGGACGATTAAGCGACTTAGGGTTTCTGCAACACCGGGATTAGATAGAGTGTCTGTTCTATGCCTGAAGAAATGCATGATGGTTTTGATTCCTTGGCTTTTGCTGATTTGCAATGCCTCCCTTGCCTGTTCGTACTTCCCTAGGGCGTGGCGTAGGGCCCGGGTCATTGCACTTCGCAAGCCTGGGAAAGATTCGTATGAGGTCCCCCGTTCTTACAGACCTATCAGCTTGTTGTCAAACTTGGGAAGGTGTTGGAAAAGCTGATGAACACTCGATTAATGCGAACACTCGAACATACTCACGTGTTAGCCCCTCACCAGTATGGCTTTCGGGCTGGCCGGGAGGTCACTGACGCGTGCACCAGACTGGCCCTGGACATAGTGAGTGCCTTTAGGAGGGGCGAAATTGTTCAGGCGATCACATTGGATATTCAGTCAGCGTACGATACTGTTTGGCACGATGAGCTGGTACGGAAACTTGTGAGGATTGGGTTGGATCCGTATATGGTTTACTGGCTGAGCAGCTTTCTTTCCGATCGCGTGTGTCTGCTATGCGTGGGGGAGTCTGAGTTGGAGGTCAGGCCTGAGTGCGGGCTTCCACAGGGTTCACCCCTCTCTGTGACCCTGTTTCTTATTTTTATTGACGATCTTTTACAGTCCCTGAGGCGCATCCGTGCGTTGCGCTCTCAGGGCTTCACAGATGACCTTGCCCTTTGGGTGGCGGTGAGGTTCCGATCTGGACTCATAGACCTCAGGCTCAGACGGGGTCTCCGGGAAGTTGACAGCTGGGCGCAGCGTTGCCGCATCCGCTTTAGCCCTCAAAAGTGTATTTGTATATGCTTCAGGGGGCAGAACGTGAGAGTGAGGGGGTCTTTCATTGCTCGCCTCCATGGCGAGACCTTACCCCATGATAGGGCCGTTCGGTACCTAGGGGTATGGTTTGACGAGGGGCTCACCTGGCACAGACATTTGACCGAGGTTATTGCACGTGCCCGTGCTCGGTTGTGGCAGCTTCGGCGCATAGTCGGGTGCGAGTGGGGGCTATGCCCTGGTCTTTTTATGCGATTAGTGCGGGGCGCCGTCCTCCCAGGACTCTTCTTTGGCTCTCCTGTCTGGGCTTCAGTGTTACGTCTGCAGGACCGACTGAGTTCCCTCGATTCGACGCTGGCCCTCGCTGCCAGGATGGCGTTCGGCCTCGAGCGCTTCACCTCGACTGAGGCATCCCTGGTGTTGGCGGGGCTCATGCCTGCACGGCAACAGATCCTACAGCGACTTGTGACGTATATGCTGAGGAGGAGGAGGGCGATTCTCGTGGGCGACCAGCCGCTCGAGCTACACCGGAGCTATGTGACGCCGGATGAGCTGGGCTTCACGTGGTTCCAGCGTTCAGTCCGAGGCCATACTATCCCCCGGACACTGCCTGGCCGACGTCGACTCATCCGAGATGGCATGGAGCGAGCTCTTACGACAGAGTGGGAGCGTTGCTGGAGAGCATCTGAGACAGGTCGACAGTTATTCGACGTCTTCCAGCATGTTGGAGGAGGAGGGTGGTACCCGGACGACGCAGCTGTAGCGCGGCGGCAGGACCTCACTCTAGTAGCTCGGTTCATGATTGGACATTATCATCTAGGCCCTTGGGCACCGACACGGGACCCCGATGAGTTAGAGCTGTGCCCCCTATGTGGGGAGGTTTACTCTCGGGAGCATTTGATTCTTGAGTGTATGTCTTTGGATTCGGTCAGACGGGATGCTATGGGTCCGGTTCTGGGTCGTAGGAGCAGGGGATTGGCTTGGCTGACCAGGTCTGCTTGTGCCCCTTTGGGGCGCTTTCTCCGGGTTGCATGAGATGAGGTTTCCCGATATCTTGAGGAGTCTGTTGAGTCGAGATAGACTTGAGGGATGGAGTGAGGGATAGGGGCTTTGCCCCATGACACATTTTCCTTGAGTTACCCAGGTTCTTTGTCCGCTGGCTGTTGGTTCACCTGACTTTCATTCCCTGTGGGGGTTCTTTTCTTTTGGGTATGGGGGTTTCCAATTGAGACAAACATTTTCTGATTTGCCCGTTATGTTTCCTGAACACTATAGAGAGGCGCCGTGACCTTAGTTGTTGGAGCGTCAAATTTAAGGAAGCTTGATTGATTGATTGATTGATGACACACACACACACACACACACACACACACACACACACACACACACACACACACACACACACACACACACACACACACACACACACACACACACACTTTTTCCTGCTCGCCGCCGCCGCCCCCCCCCCCTTGGGGGGCGGGCGGGCGACGGCCAACTCTCCGAGTAACCCGCGGCGCCCGCCCCTGGCGGGTGTCCGCTCTGAGTGTAGGGCCTGACCGGCGCCTGGGGTACCAGGGAAGTACCGGTTCGGCGGAGTATGCGACGGCTGCACGCGCGCCGCCCGCGCTGGCTGCGGGGAGGCCCGAATCGCGCCGGAGGTGGCCGGGATCGGCGCCGATTCTTCCTACGAGAGGCGCGCCCGGCGCAAAGGAGGTCGAGGCCGCTGCGCCCGGCCTCTGAGCTGTGTGTGCTAACGAAGATCGAGGCGATTCCCACGAAACATCGAGACCAAGAGGCACCGATTCCAGATCTACCGATGGCCGATTTTGGGGGACCCGCGATGGCACGAGTGGACAACGTGTGGCCTTTTGTTTTTCTTTGAGAGCGAGTTGGCAGAGTGGGGAGAGAAGTTTCTTAAAAGCTGCCTCGGGGATCTTCACTTCACCAACGATCTTGTGGCTCAATCGGAGGAGATGGCTCAAGTGAAGGCGGGGCTTGGCGCCCACGATCCCGCGCCGGGATCACCCCTGACTACCGACTCTCTAGAGCTCTTGGGAGGCCGACGCCAAGGGTGTGGGATGCCGAGGCGGGGCCAAGACCAAAGAGGCGTGGAACCACCAAGGGCAACCCCAAGGGAGTGCGCAGCCGTCCACCAACAAGGTAGGATCGACTTGTTGGCGGGCACAAGCTTGGGAGATCCCGACGACGGGGATGCAACTAGAGAGAGGGACCCATGAGGCTTCAGGGACTGAGGTTGGACAGTTGACTGCAAGGCCCCTTTATTTGTGACCAGAACCAAAGTTTAGCTTGTGGGAGAGTGGGTGTTGTGGATATGAACCGGGAGATTGGCAAAGTGAAGATCTCTAAAAGTTGAATCTGTGAAACCCAATTTGGGGATTTTCTGATCGAATTCAAGAGAGGAACCGTATCTTTACTTCGACCTTTTTCCTGTCTAGTGGGAGGCATGGCAGTTTGGAGCATGCCCTTTGTGCATGTTTCCTATCCCTATTATCATTCTTGTGGGGGTTTCTTTTCTTTTGGGGTCTCACTAAGCCCACTTTGGGCTGTTGAGTCATGAGATACTCCACGGGTGCTGACTTGGCCAAGAAAAAGAAATCATATGAGTGTACTAGGTGTTATCTGAGCTTGCTTTAGTAGGGACATGGGCACAGGAAATGGCATCGTCCGGGTATGGGGGGACCGCTAGAGTCCAGCCCAGTCGGGCCCCCCAGGTTCTCCTCCTCTAGAATTATCGATTCTCGGCTTGGTCAGAGTACTTCCATAGTACCCGAACGAGAGAGTTGTGGACTCACTTAGGGATTCAAATTAGATATCTGAGGTTACTACGGTCGAGTTAGAAGGGACGCTCGAGGGGTTGATTACCAAACAATTGAATTTCCTGATCGAAAGGCGCCGTGACCTTTGTTGTTGAAGCGTCATTTTAAGGAAGCTTGATTGATTGTTGATACACACCACCACCCACACCTACCACCCACCCTTACCACCCACCACCTACCACCACCACCACCACCCACCACCCACCACCACCACCACCACACCCCACCACCCACCACCACCACCACACCACCACCACCACCCACCACCACCACCACCACCACCCACCACCACCACCACCCACCACCACACACACACCACCCCACACCACCACCACTAGGTGACCAGGCCTCCCAGGTTTTCGGCTGGTGGTGGCGCCGGGCATCGATTCCATGAACCCCCAGGCGGCGATCTTGATCAGAGACTCGCTACGGTTCAGATCGGTCCGCCCTTTTGGGCCTAGAATCGCTGCCGCTGAGCTCATGGGGCCCTCGGGGTCTACAGTGGTCATCTCAGCCTACATTCGTCACACTTCGGGGGAGGGTCTGGACGATCTTCGACGGGCTGTGGCCTGGGCTAAGGGACGATCCCCTCGCCTGGTGATTGGTATGGACGCCAATGGTCACAGCCCGTTCTGGGGGCCGGAGGACATTCCCTCCAACGCGGTGGGGCGTGCTCTGGAGGAGCTGATCCTGGAGCACAACCTGGAGGTGGCCAACGATCTGGATGCCCCTCCGTCCTTCGTCTCTGATCGAAGGGCCAAATCTTGGATTGATGTTACCCTGACCACTCGCAGCACGGCCATGGGTTTAGCTGACTGGCGGGTGGACCAGGACTTTTTTTCTGGCTCGGATCACCGCGCCATTCGCTTTTCTGTGGCCCATTCCCCTGCCAACAACCAGACCTTCCGATGCAAGGACTGGGACAAGGTGGATTGGCTGCAATTCCGCGCAGCGGTGGCCTTGGAGTGCAGGGCGCGGGGGATTCTGCGGGGTCATAATCATGACTCTGGCTGGAATGGGAGGCTGGCGACGACGTCTCGCGAAGAAGCTGAACGGATGATGACGACTCTCACCGAAGTGCTGCAAGGGGCCATCGACGCACTTGTGCCTGTCAAGAGGATTTGCTGGGCGTCCAAGCCCTGGTGGAGCCCTCATCTCACTGAACTTCGCCGGCACATGAAGCACCTTCGGAATAGAGCTGACCGACTTGACACGGATCATGATAGGGGGCTGTTCCGCCGCGCTCGCAAGGAGTTCACTCAGGAGGTCAAGAAGGCGAAGGCGGCAGCGTGGAGACGGTTCTGTGAGTCCGTCAACCATGAGGACATGTGGCCAGCGCTACAGAGGATCCTCAAGCCTCGCAGGCGGATTCAGGTGGCGGATCTTCAGACGGGTGAGGAGCAGTGGGCGGTTGAGGACACAGCTAAGGCCAGCGTGCTCAAGGCGCGCTTCTTTCCTGAGGCCCCGTCTTCCCAGGAGTTTTGTGACCTGACTGAGACCAGGAGACGGGAGGTGGACTCCTGGCTGGCGGAAGAGTGGGAGGCATTCCCTGCTATCCAGGAGTTGGAGGTCCGGAGGCGAATCCTGGAGATGAGGGCGATCAGTGCACCGGGGGCAGATGGCATTTTGGCCAAATGCCTTCAGGAGTGCAGCGACAGCGTCACCCCGGTGCTCCAGGCTATCTTCGACGGCTTGATCCGCTCTGGCTCCCATCCAACTTCATGGAGGGCTGCCAAGGTGGTCCCGATCCCCAAGCCCGGGGGGGATCTGTCTGTGGCCAAGGGATATCGGCCCATCGCCCTCATTAACACCATGAGCAAGGTGTTAGAGGGGCTGGTCACAGACAGGCTCTACTTCATCGTGGAGTCGCGACAGCTCCTCAGCGACCATCAGCAGGGCTTCAGGCAGTCCAGGGCCACCGAGCTGGCGCTCTGGCGTTTCGTGAATGCTGCCTCCAGGGCGCTGCAGAGGGGACAGCGTTGTACTTCGGTGGCACTGGACATACAGGCAGCCTACGACTCAGTAGACCACACCGCCCTGCTGTGGAAGCTCATGAGGTGGGACG